CTTCTCCCATCAGTTTTTCGACCTGACCTTGGATTTCATTTCGATTCGACAAGACGTACGTTTTGCTGTTTACGTGCTACGTTTTATTTGATAGGATCTGCCCTGTCCCACAAAACGTACAATAAGACGTAGCGTGTGAACCCGCCTTTAGAGTCGTATTCGTTCGCACTGAATAAGAACTGAGTCACATGTAAAAGTACCATTAATTGTCATTGTTACTTGCAGCTATTTAAAGATGGTTGCGCGGAGCAAATATTTCGCTAAAACCATTATGAGCAGCCGGTAAAACTTGCCATAAATTGCGAATGTCCAAGCATCGTGTAATGTTTACATTAACTCACTAATGAAAATAGATGCAAATAGGCAATTACCTATTAATATTCATATGCGATACGGCAATTCTATTCCTCCAAATTGTGTAATAAAATAAACAGTTGCTATTAAATTAAATAACGGGTGGAACATTATATTCGAAATGGTCCTTTTCCGACTAATCGGTCATTGATGTTGATAATAGCGCTTTCATCTCTGATTACGATCTGATTTTATTTGAGCGACTCTATACTTATTGAAAATATCTCGTACTTACTAGACATCAATCATCCCATTTTGTCGAAGCCTAGACGTATGCTGGAGTGTATCTAGCTGTGGGGCCGCCCAAAACATTATTATTTTTTTTTATTACTTTATTACTTATCGTTTCATTCTTGAGGTAAGCTTACCTCATTACCCAGAAATCAATTTGAGAGTATTTTATTTTGGTGTAACGATTCTAGCGTCACTGAGTATAATCATAAATAAGGAATATAATTTACAGAGCTTTCCATAAGGCGGATTTAGGATTTCGTCTAGGGGGGGGGGCAAGGCGTCCCCCGCGCCCCCTCTAAATCCGCCACTGAGATACAAGAAAATATGTACAATATATGTATGTAGAAGCCCCTTCCCACTTCAGTTGGTCCAACTACCGAAATCTTAGTTTTTTTCTTATCAAACACAAATAATAAAAATGTAGCAGGGTGCTATAGGTTTAAAATATTAACAATGAATATTTTGATAATATATAGTAGAAAACACCAACTTTATCGCTCCCTAATCAAATTTGCAGCCATAACACATGTTGCAATTACAGCATACCAACCTATTTTCATTTCAATGCAAAATAAGTCTATAACGCATAGGTGGCTGTGAAAAATAAAAGCCATGGAAACTGTTTTTATTAATCACAGCTGTCAGAATACGTTTAAAATAGTTTTGGGTAGTTAAGGTTTTTAAAATGGGTAGAGGTAGTGAGAAAATTCGGTTACTGATAATTAAATTTTTTAATTCTGGGAAAGCCAACTCAGAAATTGCAACTTTGTTAGACTTATTGCCGTCTGGTGTGAGAAATATTGTTAGAAGATATAACGAAGCTGGTTCAGTTAATATTAAGCCACGATATGTGAAAAAAAGTAATATCTCAAATGCCGACCGAAGAGCAAAGAAGAATAATCGTGAAAAACAGGCCTGCCAATTATTTACAATTAAGTGCTCTGTGGAGTGACGCTGTTGGAAGGAGAATTTCGACGTCCACAACTCATAGAGAGGCCCACAAACTGGGATTTAGCACTTGCAAGGTAAGTTTTGTTATAAAAAAAGTGAAGTAAAAACCCTAAAATTGCACAACTTGTTTATAGGCCAAAGAAAAGCCACTATTAACTCCACTGCCAAATAAAAATCGGCTTATATGGACTAAAGAACATAGACAATGGACACCTCAACAATGGTGAGCAATACAATGGAGTGATGAGGCCCAATTCGAAGTTTGTGTTGGTGACAGTCACAGTAGAGTTATTCGCAAAAAAAATGAATCATTCCATGTTGACTGTCTGAAGAGAAAAGTCAAATTTCCAGCATCCATTATGGTCTGGGGCATGTCATCAAAAGGAGTGGGAAAACTTCATTTTATTGATGGAAATGTGGATACAAACAAATATTTGGCAATTTTAGAAAAGTCGCTTTCACCAGTGATAGAAGAATGTTTGATATCCGGCAAAGATTTTGTGCTTCAGCAAGGTGGTGCAACGGGCCATACCTGAAAAAAGGCTATAAAATGGATGGAAGAAAATAATGTACCACTTTTGAAATGGGTTTATAGCAGTCCAGATCTGTCATCTATTGAAACTTTGTGGCACGAGATGAAAAAGGTTCTACGACAACATCCTGCTCGTACAATCACCGAACTAAGACAGAAGCTTCAAGAAATGTGGGATTGTTTTACGCCAAATTTTTGCCAAAACTTGGTTAACACTATGCCCCAAAGAATTTCAGCCATAATAAAAAATAAAGGTGATGTTTCCCAATGGTAATCTTCAATTGTTGCTTTGTAAACTTTTATTCGCTCATTGTTTATTTGTTCAATGTTCTATTAGTTGTAGGTCTAAGTGATTTCAAATATGTATTTTTTACGACTAGAGTGTATCTAAAATCTTTTTGAGAAAATAAAGTGTTTTAAAAGTTAATAGTTTCGTTTTCGAGAAAATCTTTATCTTAATTTGTTCAGATATAAAACAAAAACACACGAAAATATCAATTTTAATTTCAATAAATGCTCAAAATGTTGTCGGTTAGAGTTTTCCAAATTTGCATTTCGGTTATAATTTAAAACAGAAAACAGAAACAGAAATTTAGAAGATTAGACGTGGTAACAATCAAATAACAACCCGAATTTACCCGAATTCTTTCGATCAACACAGATATCCTGGGCGAACTGTATTTATTGTTATATCTGTTTACTTATTTGTTGCTCAGTTTCCTTTGTGACAATATTGGGTAGCGAAAATTAATTTTTTGATTCAGATTTTCCGGGAAAGACTTCGCATAGATATGTTTTAAACCTTGTTACTAGATTTTCTCAAACTTGACCTGTTGCAAATAAAAAACGTTATCATCGGAGAGTTTTGGATGAAGTAACTCAAGTTGAAGCTTTGGGTCATTTTGTTGCTGCGACTGGTATTTCATTAGGCTTTGTACACACAGCCACTAAACTCCATAAATGTCATCCATTCATAATGGGAATATTGCAAGAGTTAACCAAAGATGATTTCGATAGAAGAGTTGAGTTTTGTGAACAAATGCCTCCAGCGATTAATGATAATACCATTCATGTAAAGAATATCTACCTCAGTGATGAATGCTCATTTTATCTAAATGATTTTTTTAATAAGCATAACTGCAGGGTATTTGAATAATGAAAATCCTCATGCTTTTGTAGAAGGACGTACCTGGTACCCCCAAAAAATTAATGTATGGGCAGGCATTTTCGGAAACAAAGTGATTGGGCCATTGTTCATTAATGCAAATTTGACTGGAGACATTCATTTGGATATGTTGAAAAATACCATCAATCCGCTTATCACTGAAACCATTGAAAACCAAGTCGAAAGGGATGGGAACCCTATACTTGATGATACTGAAAGATATTTCCAAGACTTCGCTCCTCCCCACTATGTTCCTCCGGTTTGGAAGATCTGTCTAGTTTTACATTAGTCCTCAAAAACTTGAAAAAATCAACAAAATTGCTTCAATAGTGCCTAAGATATATATTAAGGATTTTGCGTGTTCAGATAAATCATATCCATAAAAACTAAATTTAAAACTCTTTTATTTCCAGATATGAGAGGGCCGAGGCCCATTTCACTATTTCTATTTAACTACGGAACAACTTGTATATTCTGTTCGGTTTTGGCAGCTATACGTATTTTATAAATTTGGAGGAAGGTTTCTGGAAATTATTTTTTCTAAACATGTAGAGTAAATAGTAAATGAAGCTTACCATGGCAAAGTAAACGTTGTACGCTTTTAAAGCATAACATGTTCTTTTAGCTAATTTTCATGTATTTGTAGATAAAAATTAAGGTGGGGTCCGATTTGGGCGCAGTGATTCCATGACTATTTCAATTTTCCACATTTTTGCATCGCATGGTCATGAATCTAATTGAGCTGTTCGTTTGCGATATTTTTAACAAAAACCTAAACAGGATAATATTACGTTATAATTTCAATTGCTTACTTGTACTTCTTTCTGTCCTGTTAAAGATTGTCTGACATTTTCTCTCCATGGAATATTGGAGAAATGAGAAAGAACTGGATATTGCCAGGAGAGACCTATTGTTAGCAGATTATTTAACAGTCCTTTCAATTTCTTGGTTCGTGCTTGGGTAGGATTCCATATTTTTTCGTAAAAGATCGTATGGTGGAAAATGTTTATTTTCTAATTTTCTCCTTCAGATGACTTGTATGAAAAGTAATCGGAATGATTTTTGCCAGATGCTTCAGCCTACTGTCGGGAAGAAAATTGGAGTCTAGCGAGCTCCCCTGATATTAGCCAAGAGAGCCCGGAATACATTCTCGTATCGATAGAACAGTTTCAACTCCTATTCACATCCCTACATAGGGAAGTGTCACTTAGGTCGATTTTACTAATGCATTTCCATATTGTGTCAAGAAATAGTTCATAAGTGTTCTGGTTTAGCTAGAAAAACTATTTTTTCTTTTGACCGTGGACACAGAATTTACGACTAGAGCACTGTTACCACAAAATCAAAAAGGAGGACTCCCAACTTAGACCCAAATGCGATCAATCAAAACAAAGGGATGCTCGAACCATAGGAGGTCTGTAAATTAAATGATGAGACTGGCAACATAGCGTTCGATCTGACAACACTGGATGCGCCCGGCTTGGAGGGGTGACAGGGGAACATCTTATCTGCCTTCGGTACGAGTTTCAGCTAGCTCGAGTCATTGGGTTGTCCGTAGCGGTTTTTTAAAACGCTTTTATTAGCTTGGCCTCTATGTATGTAAGGAAATCCTTGAGCATAATTTTCACCAATCTTCAGAAGTTTGATTAGTTTGAAACTCGGCAAAACCGATGACAAAGCAATAATTTGATAACAGTTTTCCATTATTTCCATTCATCAGTAAAATTCTATAGAAAGCAGATATATTAATAAAAAGCCATGGATTTCTCTGAAGCTCAGGGGCAGAGCACTGGTCTTGTAAGGTAGGGGTCGTGAGTTCAATCCTCACAGGAGGCAGATTGTGGTATAGCTTTTTTTTATTTTTTCTAATACGCTTCCATTAGCTTGACCTGTATGTATGTGTGTAACGTAATCTTTGAGCATGATTTTCACCAATTTCCAGAAGTTTGGTTCAATAGAAACTTCGCACACGCATCAAGAACCGGTGACACTGCATTAATTTGGTAACAGTTTTCCACTATCCTTATTAGGACCGCCAGGATTCATAAATTCTTTTATAGATCCTCTGTAGGGGAGTAAGAAAGATAGAGCTAGCGCGCGATCTGCGCATGCACGCAGTTTCAGACTGACTTATACTTTTTCAAGGTAGTGCATTTATTGCGAATGTTGCTATTAATCCTGAGTTGGGTTATGACTGTCCACAAGATGCAAGGTTGTACAGTAAAAGCATTCATATATGGTTCCTCAGTCTGCTTATTCGACTGACTCGAGCCGTGAGACGTTTTTTTATTCCCAAAGTTGATTAATCACCTCATTTTTAACCGACCAGTTGAAGGCTATTCCACTATCGGTGTTGCAGCACTGCTATGAGGAGTGGAAGAACGGTCTGTAGCCCCCGTGTGAAGAGAGAATTCAAAAATTATCCCCACTTAATCCACATACCTCGTATATAACACTCACAAATTGCATGACCTGGTGCTACCATAACGTGGTGAATGCAGAGCTAACCAAGGTGACGTAATTTTTTCCAACATCGCCGAGTAAATACGAAAAAGTCCTCTGCTCTTGATGAGAGACCATAAGCATTGCACGAGGCAGCGACTATGGAACAGTGAAGATGAAATAAGTCCCGACCGAAGCGGTCATAGCATAGCAAAATGAAAGACGAGGTCTGGCAAGATTAAGCAAATTGTGCCAGATTGCATGCCAGCAGCAAGTGAGTATAAAACGTATGTAAATTGCTTTCACGCCCTACAACACTTACCACCACTAAAACTGAAATTGTCGGCCTGGAGATTGCACTGCATTATATTTGTGACATTTTAGATAAATCGGGATATTTATTTGTCGACAAGTTCTGAACAGAATATACGCAGAATATACTCCCCCAGATCGACAACAAAGTAACGTCAAGTAGGTTAGCTCTACACTTTCCACTCAACGCTTTCGTGGGTTCATAGAAAGGCATCATTATACAGGGTGTTCATTTGAAAACTTCCTAGCACAAATTCATCGAAGACCATTGATTAGAAGAAAAAACCCAGGCATGTCAAAAGATTCGTCAAGCTTTTAACCCTTTAAGGCGCAAAATTACTTTTTTCGAAAATCAATTATTTTTTTGAAAAACTAGTTATCAGCAGCAACAGCAACCACAAAAATTGTTAAAAAAATTTTTGAAAAATCCTAAGGTGGTGAAAAAAACGGTAGATATAGCTACCATGGTGCTTTAACAACAACACTCTACACATAAAGTTCAGTGGTAGCTCTAGCCGTCTTAATAAAATGAAACTACATGAGTGAAATTTTATTGCATAAACTTATAATTATGTCATTGTATTAGCAATCTTCTTAAAAATAATACTACATGAGTGAAGTTTTATTTTCTAAGTAAACTTATATTAATTAAATATTTTTTATTTCGTATGGTAGGGTGCAAAACAGTCCTTACATAATGCAACGTAACAAGTTTTGCAAATTATATTAGAGCGAGTTATTTCTTTTTTGAAGAACTGCACAGTACACAGCGGCGATACGTTCCTTTAGTTGCAAGATGGGAACCTATATTCGATTGCGTTTCCGTTTTTTCAGGTCCGGCCTTTTTTCTTTGAGTAAATGTTCCAATAAGTTCATTCGCTAGTTCGCTACGGAACTGTAAAGCTGTTAGGGGTTTTGCACTAGGGTTTTTTGATTTAAGTGTTTTCTTGTAGAGAACATAACTGTTTACTATTGAAGCATCTAGTAAGTAATAAAAAAATTTTATCCACCACCGTCGGGATTTCCATGATGTGGAATAATTTTCATGATATTGGTCGAACAAATCAACGCCTCCCATATGGATGTTATAATCCGCGATAGCTTTGGGACACGTTACATTATCCCGTTGACCTATTTTGTTGGTGCGTAAAACTTCTGTTTTTTCCAGGAAGTTATGTCGATTACTAGCAACAGCTACGCATTTGACACCCCGATCTTTCCATTTGTATACAGATATTTCTCCCGAGGCAACCGAATCTGATTGGTTTTGAGATAATTCCTTATCTGTTTTGGGAAATTCTTTCTGTTCTGCCTTACAGTTCCACAACCAAATAGGCCTCTGTCTAATAATTTCTGCATAAGAGCAATCGTTGTAAAGAAATCGTCAAAATAGATGCAATAGCCGCGATTTTGAAATTTTTTTGACAATTCACGAACAACACGTTCCCCCAACATTTCAGTCGATGATGACTCAACCTTGCCTTGATAAATCTGGAAGTTTACAAGATAACCTGTTTTGGAGCATGCCAACGCCCATATCTTGAAACCTCGTTTTATAGGCTTCATAGGAAGGTATTGCTTCAAAATTGTTCGTCCTTTGAAGGGGCACATACTCTCATCGATTGATAAATGCCGATAGGGTGTAAATGCAGTTTGGACTGTATTGGAAAGATGAACCAATAATGGTCTAATTTTGAACAATTTATCAAAATTGGGGGTATTAGGTTGAGGCATTTTTTGATTGTCGTTCAAATGAAGGTATCTAAGGATCTTTAGAAATCGTTTGAGTGTGAACACTTTAGCAACACGTTCAACAAAAAAAATAAATAAATTAGCAGACCAATAGGATCTCAACGTGGGCAGGCGGTGAAAACCCATGACAATAAGTATCCCAAAAAATGCATTAAGTTCTTCGGAACCTAATTCTAATTGAGTTTTTTGTTGATTAGCATATACATTTGATTCACGGACTATCATTTGGCATATATTTTCGTCAAAATAAATTTTGAAAAAATCGATTGGTTTGTTTGAATCCACCTGAATATTTACAGCAGAAGACTCCGTGAAATTGTAAGTATCGAATCGTAACATTTGGTTAGATTTTTTAGACCACAAAAATGTAGTTTTACCCGCAGAAGATATTTCGTTTTCGTCCTCATCCTCGGAGGACAGTTTACTATCCTGAGGAAAAAACTTGGCAATTTTATTTGGTGGATCATTTGGATCGAAGTCCGGGTCTGCATCGGAATCATGGTAGTCCTCATCTTCGCTCTCAGTCATACTTTGTGGCGGAATCCCTGCAAGTAATTTTTTTCTCAAGCCAGTTGTGTACGATGGACCAGGCTGAGAATCAAGAAGAACCGCAGGTGAACCTGAAGACAATCGTACTGAAGATGATCTGGATGAAGTGGGGGTTTCAGGTGGCAAGTCATCCTCTGCATCATCATCACCGCCATAGCCAGAAGCACAGTATCCTTGATAGCTTATATTTGCAACAATTTCTTCTAACTCCGCTTGAGTTAGTGGCCGTGAATTGGACATTCTGGAAATAAAATATATATACATGGTGTCCCGTATCGTTATGGTCGGATTTTGTGGCGGCCCTAGGTATACTAGATTTAATTATAAGTCAAAGTTGCAGTTTTATTTTCATTTGTCTTCGACCTACAAAATTTCAGCATAACGATACGTGACACCCTGTATAAATAGCTAAATTATGTTTTATATTATAAAAAAAAACAAATTATACTAGAGCAGTAATAATCTGATGAAATAGGTTTAGAAACTAAAATTTTTTTTATTGGGCTATCTGCACCAATGCTTACTATCACAACAATTTTGCATATTATCTGCATAATCGAGAACAAAAACAAAATATTATCCTAGCGCTTCAATGCAATGCTAAAATTACTTTAGCAGCCAATTGATACATATTTTACTATTGTAAAATGATTAGTACACACATACCAACATATTGATAATTATTTTATAGATAAAAATATTTATTGGGGTTTTTTGTGCTCCCACAAATATTATGCTTTTCTTGGAGTTTTAAGTGCTTTAGGAAATATAACAACAAAAACTTTATGTAGATATTTTAATTGAATACTTACCTATTACTTATTTCTTGCACTTATACACAAACACAGCTCTATCTATTAAAAATAAACAAAATAAAGCAAAATTCTGCTTTGATGCAAGCTGTAATGAACGTTGGTAGCTACCGTACGTGGTTGACAGCAGCACGTGGCTCGCATCGCGCGCGCTGCTGGTATTCACATTTACCAGCGAGCACTGCGGATAGCGTCTGTGTGCATTGGAACCAAAATCACTTGGCCGCTCATGCTAATATCAACCATAATAACTGATGGTATATATAGCTACCAGAGAGCGCTAAAGGGTTAACAAAAAAGTACTTTACCCCCTTTCTCGCCCCCCCCCCCCAGGGTCATTTCTTTAAACATTTCTGAAGACCAGATGTACGGAGTAATAGCTTGTTTTGAAAGGCCTTTCAAAGTCCCTTATTTTGACGTTTAGTTTTCGAGAAAATTAGAAAAATCTTTATTTAGCTTAATTTGTTCAGATAGGAAACAAAAACACACGAAAATATCACCTTTTATTTCAGTAAGTCTCCAAAATGTTGCCCGTTAGGGTTTTCCAAATCTACGATTCGTTTATAATTTAAAACGAAAACTAACAACATAAACAGGAATTCGGAAGATTAGACGTGACAACAACCAAATAACAATCGGAATTTTTTTCCGCATTCTTTTCATCAACACAGATATCCTGAGCGAACTGTATGAGTATTTATTGTCATACCTGTTTAGTTATTTGTTGCTAAGGGAAAGAAAGAATTTAATTTGCTGTCACTTACCTTTGTGACTATCTTGAGATTGAAAATTAATTCATTGATCCAGATTTTACTTCCAAAATGGCTTAGCAGAAAGAGTGGAAATGATTCTAATTTATGGTGCGCAAAATCAATGTGCTCGGCCAACTGCCGTCACGTTCAACGTGAGACATCCGGAGAAGATAATTTCGCATAGGTATGTTTTGGACCTTGTTACCAAATTTGCTCAAACTGGATCTGTTATAATAATAATAATAATAATAATAATAATAATAATAATAATAATAATAATAATAATAATAATAATAAAGCATATATTGCCCAACAGTATACACCATTTACAGAGCAATAGGTAATAAAAAACAATTAATGTACTAAATTTACCTAAAACTAAACTACAAATTGGCACGACACTGGGTTCTTATTTCTGAAAAACTGCAGCAGAAAATGCCACAGACGTTAGACAGTTTGTTCGCGCTTGCACACATTTGATTAATACGTGCTTTCATTAATATATTCGTTTGAGCTCTTTTACATAAAAACTGTAATGATCTCTAGCATTAAGTCTCGGTACAAAGATATTTAGCTGTGATAACAGGTCAACAGAGTCAGATTTGCTATTTAGTAGTTTATGCAAAACAAAACAGACGCCTGACCTCTACGGCTCTCTAAAGTTTGAAAGTTGAATCTGTTCACAAGCATCACATAATCACTACCTCTTTATGGATATACCCCATCAAGCTTGAAAGATAAGTACTTTAGACATTTTTATTGAACGTTTTCGATGCATGTTTTATAAATATTGTAAATTGGGTTCCATATTAGTGAACAGTATTCTAATTTCGACCTGACTAGACTACAGTCCCCTGCCATATTATTAGACTCATGCTGCAAATCTACTTTTACTTTATATTTCTTGTTGTTATTATGAACTTTTTGCAAATAGCGCGAATTGTTGGAGTTTCTCAAAGTTCTGTAAAACGAATTAAACAAAAAATAGACCTCGGTGAAAATCTGAGAGCCAAACGTAAAGGTGCGTGTGGTCATCGAAGAATCACGACAGAGAGAAGTGACCGAAAAATCTGCAATATTTGTCTTGAAAATCGAAAACTTCCGATAAAAATTCTTACAAAAAAAGTTCTTGAAGCCGGCATTGAATTTTCGCAAAGAACAGTGCAGCGGAGGGTAGCAGAAGAGGGGTCTTATTGGACGTAGACCAGCACGCAAACCAAGACTTACACCTGCTATGATATCAAAGCGATACCAATGGGCACGAAAATACAAGGATTTCACGACTGATAACTGGAAGAACGTAAATTATTTAATCTAAATTCTATGAGGTTTTCCAGGTATGTTTTTCGGACGAGTCGATTTTCCAAGTATTGGTCGACAAATCGCAATTTGTATGGCGAAGGACAAATGAGAATTATAAGCCAGAATGCATTGTGCCGACCATTAAACATCCTCCTTCGGTAATGGTATGGTCAGTTATCAGTTATAAGGGACAAGGGGCCTTATACCTTGTCGATGGTACAATGAATGCCGAAAAACATCAGGAAGTTTTGGAAACCCAGCTGCTCCCTTAAGTGAAAACTGGTTCAACAAACGAGATAAGCCAATTTTTATGCATGATGGTGCGCCTTGCCATCGTGCATAAAAAATTACAAAATTTTTAGCTGAAAAAAAGGAGATATCCTCGACTGGCCAGGAAATTCGCCTGACATGAACCCCATCGAGAACGTCTGAGAGTTTTTGATATCTGAGGTTACGATGAAAGCCCCTACAACCAAGCAAGAGTTGATCAATATACTTAATGACACTTGGAAACATAACCCAGAGCTCAAAATAAAAATTCAAAACTGTATAAGCAGTATGCCACGTCGCGTTGAAGCTGTGTTGGCTGCGAAAGGTGGTCATACAAAATACTGATTTTTGCAAAAAAATGTATCTTCATGTGAAAAGATTCCATTTTCATGTAAATTTCCAATTTTCTATGTGACATTTGTTGTATTTATAATAAATTTTGATGTTTCATCATGGATAAGCTTTGTAAATGTCTACTGGCGTGTTATAAGCCAGGAAAACTTCATTTTTAAGCATGAGTCCAATAATAAGGCAAGGGATTGTAGAATACAGTAAAGTTAGTGCCGACAGATCAGTAAAAAGCGTACAGTTTCTTATGATAAAGCCATATGATCGAAACGCATTCATAATAATTTGATCAATATGTGAGTTGAATGTTAACTGACTGTCAAAGCAAACTCCTAGACCTCTGATTGAGTCAGTTCTCGAAATGTCTGTACCATTAATTGTATAAGGATATAGTATGATGGAACGTCGGCTAAAGGTTACTATTCTGCATTTGGAGATATTTAAATGCAGATGATTTCTAACACACCAGTCATGTAAAACATCGATCTGCGATTGCAGGGCAGCACAGTCTTCTAGACATGCAATGGACGCATAAATTTTTAGATCGTCCGCAAATATTAATGAATTCCAGTGAAGTGCATAGGTCATTAACATATAACAAAAACAATAGAGGTCCCAAATTGGACCCCTGTGGTACTCCACTAGTAGAAACATAGTAACCAGATGTGGTTGAATTAATGTGAACATATTGCCGTCTCTGATGCAGATAAAATTTAAGAAGATTTAGGGAAGAACTAGGCCTAAAGAAAAAAGTTAGTGGAGCAGAACACTGTGACTGATTTTATCAAATGCCTTAGGAAAGTCAACATAGACAGTATCTACCTGACCCCGTTGATTTATTGTTTCGCACAAATATTGGTCGAAGATTGCAAGGTTACTAATAGTTGGTCGAGAACGTACAAAACCGTGCTGGTGAACTGAAATGTAATTTTTTGCACTTTCATAAATACGGTCATGTAAAATAATTTCTACGAGTTTCGCTGGATTGCAGAGAATAGAAATTGACCTGTAGTTGCTTATAACATTCAACTGCTGCGACTTGTGTCTAGGGCATACCTTGGCAATCTTCCACACTTCAAGAAAAGTTGATGTCTTGATAACACTGGTCAACAAAATTTTAACTTTGTCGTGCCACACGGACTTTTTTGATATTTTTTACTTTAATTGGTGATTGTAAGAAAAAATATACAGTTTGCTAGACAAGGATTTTATTCTATTGAGTAATTTAAAATATTAAGAAAAAACACAGATCTCGTAAATCAAAAGTTATTTTTTTTATAAATGACTTAATAATCTAAGATTTTCTTGAATATTTAGCTTCTGGTTGGTCCCTTCTAATTGTCCAGCAGTAATCTGCTAACATATTTGGGCTCCATTTGCCCTGGTACCGCTTTTCCATATTAGAAATGTCCTGATGGAACCTCTCACCGTGCTCGTCGCTGACAGCCCCTAAATTGGCAGGAAAAAAATCCAGGTGCGAGTCTAAAAAATGGATCTTAAGTGACATGTTGCAACCCAATGCTTGATATGACAATAATAGCTCGCTAACCAACTCTCTGTAGCTGTCACTCTTGTGGTTACCCAAAAAATTTGAAACAACATTTTTAAAAGCCTTCCATGCAGATGTTTCTAAATCGCTTAATTTTTCTTCAAATCTTGAATCTTTTATTAACTCCCTAATTTGAGGGCCGACCAAAATACCCTCTTTTATCTTTGCATCACTTATTTTAGGGAATTTTTCTTTTAGATACAAAAAT